GTCTTGAGTCTCAGTTTTGCAGTCATTCTGAGTGTTGTTTACGTTTTTATCGTGTTTCTAGTTAATATTTTTAAGTGTTGTTTTCTATATAGTTCTAGCGTTTTTTTATATTTTACATTCATATCAATATGGACAAGAAGAAAAGAAGAATTTAATCAGAAAACAGCCAGTTTCAACCTGAATGGACAGATTTATATTGTTTCCCTAAACGAGGTGGCCTAGTTGCCTGGTTTCAGCTACCTAACCAGGATGATCTCCTGAGGGGGGTTACAACTACTGAAGGGTTTCTGGGTAACACCACCACCCTCCCCCACCCGGTTACGTTACTGCCTGGTTTAGTGCTAAGTGTCCGGACCGCGGAAGTGTAGTAAGTTTTTAAAACTGACCCTCAGGAAATATAATTGGTGACCCCTGCCCTAGGGCGTTGATAACCTAGTCAATTTCTTTGAATTATACTCCGTAAGATGACATTTTTTTTACATTAAGTACTTTTTTGTACACTAAGTTCTTAAAGTAGTTTATTCTTGTGCATTTTAGATTTAGATTCTCATTCTCCTACATTTTATAGCTGATGACAGAGATGTCGAAACGCGTCCTGTGTCATGTGTTAAAAAAATAAAGATTGTTTTTACAACTTGTGGTATTACTTATACTAAGTAATTGTATTATATTAATATAAAAAAAGGTTCCTTAAAACGGACTACATTATTACATGATGGCGTAATCTCCTTTCTATAGGTATGAAAATTTTATATAAATAAAACTTGATTATTTGGATAATATATTTAGGTACACCTTTCTGGGTACGGATAAGACAGGCCATTCACGTTCCGACTTGTGGTCCCACTTAGTAGGACTACTAGTTGGATGTTCGTCTCCACTCACGCTCCGACTTTCTATCCAACTAGCGGTCCAACTTCAGTTCTAGGTTGTTTTCACGATGGATGTATCGAATAAACACTACGCAAAATATAATAATATGATATGTATGTTTAAAAATTTGGTTTCGTTTCTCTAGTTATGTGTCTAGGGCTGAACTAATTAATTTTTTCAACTCTTGATTTTTATGACTTTTTAAGATGTAGGAAAAAATTATAGTTTTTAAAGATTTGTATAGGTATAAAATTTATATTTTATTTGTTTTAAACTGGAGCTGGGATTTATTTTGTTGTGTGTGTCGTATATTTTTAATAGGAATAATTGTTCGTGCAATTGAAAGTTATTTTCTATTATTTTTTTGCGAACTAGGGATCTTTTGCTACAACTATGATTTAATTTTCATTGTTTGTTGATAATTCTTCCGTAGCCAATCCGGACTATCGGAAATTTACCTGTATAGGAATGTCCGAAATAGATCTACAGAAAGGAAAATGATTTGCCCTAACAAAAAGGTTTTTTCGTGCAATTGAAAGTTTATTTTCTATTAAATATTCGCGAACTAGAGATCTTTGCGTAAAGTATTTCATAGAAATCTCATACGTAACAGGTGCCGAAAGTCAACTGACTGAGGAAATTTTCGATCCACCCTGTCATCCGACTTCCAACTTCACCATTCACGCTCCGACTTCATCGCCAGTCGGAAGTCGGATCTTCAAGTCGTCCCACTAGTCGTACCACTAGTTGTCCAACTAATCCAACTAGCCCACTCACGGTCCGATTTTAGATCCAACTGCAGAAGTTGGACCACTAGTCGTACCACAAGTCGGAACGTGAATGGCCTGCATAAGCGATTAGTTTTACGTACATAAATAAGCAAATGTAAAACCCATTACACCTAAATTAGGTACTACTTTCTAATGGTTCATTAAAAATTTGTTAATCTAAGCTTAGACATTAACTTTATTTTTGTATTTATTGTTGTATTGAATTAGTTGTATTGCTTGCTTGCGTGTTAGATAGTGTTCTGTGCTGGTATTTGTGCGTCTGTTTTGTTTTTGATTTTTATTGTCCCTGTTCTAGGACCTCTCGTCCTTTTCTGAGAAATAATAAACTGAGGAATTTGAAAAAAATCAAAATCAGTGGAAACGTAGAGTGTTAATTTCCAAAATAACGGCGTTTGGTTCTGGAAAGCTAAAAATGGAAAGTTGAAAATTATTTTAATTTGGAATAAAATAAAATGGGTCCATTAAAATCTGATACGATAGTTCAAAAACGCACATGGGATGTTGCGATATCTCAGAGAGGATATTCCAGAGAATTAACAGCATCTGCGAGAGTAAAATAAATAAAGTAAGTCATAGAAATTAAATTTTGCAATTAGAAATATTACATATCATATTATGGACAAAGAACTGTGTAATATTAGTTTAACCGGTTTAACCAGTTTGTCAAACGTGCTGAATGATTTAGGTTTTCGATATAAAAATAGAAATAATAGACAATTATTTTGTGAACTCTTCAATATTATCAAAATGGTGGCATTTTTTAAGAAAATACATAAACAGTAAAAGCTATAGATTTGAAACGTGAAGACGCTTCATACGGTCCGAATATAAATGAAAGGAAAACAAAATATATGAAGTGCACAAAGTCGAATCGACATGAGAATCTGAAGGTAGACAACCATACCTACGAACATAGGCCTTACCTAGTTACCTAGGCTCAATAAAAAATTACAGCAACAACGTCAGTCAAGAAATACAAGCACATTGTCTTAGCGGTAATAAGTGCTTTTATGCATACAAAGACTTAATAAAAAGTAAGCTACTGAATCGTGACTCCATGCTTAGAATGTACAAAACAGTAATTAGATTACTTGAGAATAATAATTAAGATAAATTATTAATTGAGAATATTTGAGCGCAAAATATTAAGAAAGATATTTGGACCAATTCATTGTAGCGATGGTTCGTGGAGAATAAAAATTAACTATGAGCTGGATTAATGAGCACTTAGATATAGAGGAAGATATTAAAACCATGAACATCAGGCAGTGGCGAAGGAAAGTATCCGACAAGATAGAATGTATTTTTAGATAAAACTTGGATTTTCACTAAAGGAAATATGACAAATTAATCTTGGCAAGATGTTACCACGAAATGCTATTCCTCTAACAGTTACGGTAATGTTAAAAGACACATTATATTTCATGCCGGAAGCAATAAATGCTTTATTCCCGATGTAAGTTTTATTTTTTCATGCACAAAGAATGGATGATGGAAATATGGGTGCAAATATTTTTGAAGAATATATGGAAGAAAATTTGTTTAAACAATTAGAGCGACCATTCATAATAGTGCTGAATAATGCATCCTATCACTTAAAAGTAGAAGAGAAACATATTGTATTAGACATAAGAAAGATCTAATCATTCAGTGCTTTCAAACAGCAATTATTGGATGATGCGAGACCTCTAATTATTCGCATAGATCATTCATATAGTGACGACTCTGATAGTGAAGTATGAGATACTTAATACAAGCATTTACATTGGTTGACGTCCTACAGTGAAAAATACATATTATTATTCACTTTACACTAAAGTGCAAACGCAAACATCAGCATAAATAATAATAAATAAACCTGATTAATGTATGTTCATTTTAAGTTTATTTAGTATTTCCTGCATTTTACATCTAATATCTAAATTTTAGCAGCACACTAGATTAACTACGCATCCGTTTACTTTGCTTCTCTAAACTCTTAGCGAAAACGAAATTCCAAAACCAGTTTAGCGCTGGCATCCAGTAACCAGTAGGAAAATGTAGGTTCATTATTTAGGAGTGCAGTTGATATTAAGAGTTCAATTTGACGGCAAATATTATACAATAAAACTTTTGAAATATTTGTGGGTTAGTCCGTTATTACACCAATGTCAGTTTCTTGTTTATCTTTTGACAATAACCGTTCTCGAATTGCTTCAACTTTCTTAGAGTCAGCAGTTACACCATTACTATTACCTATACAATAGGTTCTAAGTACCTATATAACTTCTCGTCGAAACATGTGACACTTCTTCTCAGTTTTAGATTAGCTGCACATACTTATGCTGCATTTTAGATTAGCTGCACACAATTGTCATCTAAATAAACCAAACATATTTGCTATGCTAGCCACCTCATTAAACTGCCCTCATTAAACACCCTCTTATGGCTTAAAATTGTCTGACATAAATAGACCAAGAAGACTTCCTATCAAATAATGAGATTTGAATCTTGTGATTTGTCGAGTCTTCTTTCTTCCTTTACATTTCGCTATAGAATCTTTATTTACTAGCCTGTTTCTTCTCCGATTGGTGATAAGTCTGTTGTTGGGACCTCACAATTTATTATGATTTCTAATTTTATGAATTTTTCCTTTAATTTTTGTTGCAGATCATATACATTTTTCTGTGTTATATCAATTTTTTCTTCAGTTGATAAAAGTTTCTTCCATGATTTTCGAAACTTCTATAAATTTCCCGTTCTGTGTGTTTGATTTTCAGAAGTTTCGTCAATTTTACTAGAACCATTTTCGAATTTCTCATCGGTCTTTTGCATAAGCACGTACGTTTACAGACACAATTTCAATATTATATATCTCCTGAACAAATAATAATATGAACATAGAGATTCGAATGAAAAAAAGGAAACTTCCTTTGGCTATCAAGAAGAAGAAGTATCAGTATCTTGATAATAATAATTGAAAAAATCAGTCGCTTGAAGGTAAAATTCATATATGAATCATCTAAGCAGATGGCTTTCAAATATGTTAACAAACATTTTCAAAGCCTGTACAATGGTAGCCATGAAAGCTGAAGGTTTGACATACATTGTTGCTATGATATTCTTTATAATAAGTATAAAATATCATGCACTATTTACCAGATATTTGATATTATCTTTTTCTCTGAAAACCAAATTGAAATTCTGGTATTTAAAAGTGCCTTCTAGCTATGAAATGTGTGACGACGCCTATGACCTTGGCATATCAGCAGAATCGGAATTCATCTAAGCGGCGGCAACATTGTAATTATGTAAAAGGCCACCAAATCCATGGTTTCACGTATCGTATCGAGCGTCAGTATCAAAAACAAATATGACATGAGCGATAAACAGCTGATGGCGTCAATAAACATTTTTTAAATTTACGTTTTTATTAGAAATGCACTTAAATTTCCAAATTCTAGTTCTAAGCCTCGTGGTCTATTCCGAGAACATTAGGTAAGTAATAAAATTTTTGTTGTGAGTAAAACAGAGTATAACCTTGACTGATTTACCTGATGTTTTGTTCAATTCTTTTTGTTATTTAAAATGTAGTGGGTTTTGGATTATTGTTTGTTTTTATTTGAAACGTGGGAACGTAAGGTATTTTTATGATTTCATAGAACGATGTGATCTATGTGCGAAATCGTGTATTACTTTAATTTTAAAATCTATTTTATTATAGAGTTGAAAAATTCCTAAGACGATATAATTGTATGTCCTATTTTCTATGATTTAAGATAATGAATGTACTTTAATCCTTACATAAAATCGGGTACATAGTATACATAGAAAAAATGCAATATCGAGTAATGCAGTATGCTGTGAATTACAGTTATTAGTTTTGTTTAAAAACGGGTCATACTTTATGACTCGTACGACATAATATGTATTTGAAAAAAAAAAAAATGCAATCTGTGGCTTCGGTAACTGGAAAACAACAGGTTAGTACTGACTATTAAATTAATGTAAGTATTATAGACTATTTACCAAGAAAATGCAGGTTATGTAATTTTTTGACAGCCATGCACGCCAAAATTGTAATGTTTCGTTCACTACTTTCTATAGCTAAAATTCATAGTTATTAAGATATTTAGCTTTACATGTATAGATTAAATGTTTGTATTATAATTTTCATTATTATTCTATAGGGTGTCATAAAAGTATTAGGTGGCAGTTCTCAACAATGTAAACCTGTTTATCTGTCTAAAGTTACGCGAACTGAAAACTGTCAACTAAGATTTCCATGCTACACTATATAATAGCAAAGAATATAGACGCTTAAGCGTCTATAGTCTATATTCTTTGATAATAGTAAAGAATATAAGACGCATATTATATGCGTCTATGTATACTCTTTGCATATACGTCTACAGTGTGTCCCTAAAGTATGGAATAAATTCGATATTATTTCCTAAATGAAAAGCTTTTTAAAAAAAATCTAAAACACGCCGATTCTTAAATTTAATGTTCAATATTTTACAATAAAATGTCATTATACAAGGTGATACACATTACAGTGATGACGTCATCGGTTCTTTTTTTAAATGTAACACCCTGTATGTTACAACATTTTTAGATAGAATTCCAAAAAAGTATAATACTGGGGGTCTATCAGACATAATTTGAAAGATGCGCTTAAAAAATTAATTTTTATTGATTTATAATATTAACAAATTATAAATAAATTATAATAAATAACTTGAAAGTAATCCAGTAATTATTACATGACTTTATCTAAAATGTTCGAATTGTAGCCCTTGTTGCATTTGACAGTAAGCCAAACGTTGTACAAATTCTTGTAGAACCTTGTTTATACTTTCTTAAGAAATATTGTTTATTTCTTTACGAATTCTTGCGTTTAAGTCTCCAATATTTGCAGGTTTCATTTTATAAACAACATTCTTTAAATGACCCCACATAAAATAATCCAAAGGATTGAGGTCTGGCGACCTCGCTGGCCATTCAATATGTCCACGTCTTCCAATCCACCGGTTCAAAAATATTTCGTTTAGGTACCTTCGAACATCTAAAGCATAATGCGGAGGCGCACAATCCTATTAAAACCATAAACTTTTATCAAAACTTCCAAGATTAATTGTACTGGGGAATAAATTAACTAAAGTAGGTACGAGATACCCACTTAAAAACTGAAGGTACGCTGGCCCGTTTAAATTACCTTCGAAATAGTAGGGTCCAATGATTTTATTTCTTACAATGCCAGCCCATACGTTTACCTTTTGCGGGTATTGTGTATGATGTTTCCGCATCCAGTTGGAGTTTTCTTTTGCCCAGTATCTACAATTCTGAAGGTTGACCTCGCCATTTAATTTGAATGTAGCCTCATCAGAAAAAATAATATTTTGAACCAAGAGAGGGTTTCGGTGGCTGTTATCCATCATTATTTCGCAAAATTGTATTCTTTTATCTGTATCATCTTCGTTTAATTCCTGTACAAGTGCACATCTAAAGGGGTGCCGTTTTTCAAGTTTGATTATTTTGTGTACCGTTGTTTTCCAAACATCGAGATTACTACTAACCTTACGAACAGAAGTGTGCGTATCTTCTTCAAAAGCAAGTATAACATCTAATGTTGTAACATAATTTACAGAGGAACGACCTGATTTGCGTGCATTTTCAACTGTAACAGTTTTTTGAAATTTCTCTTCAATCTTACTTACTGTTGACTGCGTTATGGGTATTTCTGGATATTTATCATTAAATAAATTACACACTTCCATCTGAGTTTGCGATTTGTCTCCATACCCAATCATTATGAGTATTTCAATTCTTTGCTTTACACTCAAATTCATTTCTACTTAAAATTAATTGTAAGCAATAATACATAACATTCACGAATTAACACAATTTTATTGTACTACTTAATTGTTATTGAACGTTACTAAAAATAATTATATTTTACTAAAAACTAGTAGTAGGCTACTTTTTTGCAATTGATAAATATGCAATTTATTTTTTAAGCTCATATCTTTCAAATTATATCAATTAGACACCGAGTATTATACTTTTTTGGAATCAGCTCATTTTGATCGATCTAAAAATTTCATAAAAAAGAGCCGATGACGTCATCACCCTAATGTGTATCGCGTTGTATAATGAAATTTAGTTGTAAAATGTAGAACATTAAACTTAAGAATCGACGTGTTTTAGATTTTTCTAAAAATGCTTTTAATTTAGGAAATATCGAATTTATTCCATTCTTTACGGACACACTGTATATTCTTTGATGATAGTAATTCAACATCATAATACAAACATTTAATATCTGTATTAAAAGCTAAATATCCCAAAAACTATTAGACTTATGTATCGGAAGTAGTTAACGAAACTTTAAAGATCAATTAAAGTTCTTTCTAATCACGCCATAACATGTAGGGTAATCCATTTAAGATAGTTGAGACATTTTTAAGTAATCGTTTTAAATCATTTTGGATATTAAATATAATTTTATCCGCAAACGTTTTTCAAAATAGACGATACTAAAAAAATGGTACCAAGCAAAATGTTCGCAATTTTAGTATTTATAAAGTGTGTAAATCATCATATCTCGTAAAACTTTCGGTGTAAAGTAGCGTAATAGTCCAGTCGTCAGAGATTTAACCACTAAAAATCATTAACAATCACACCCAGTCAACCTCACCCAATCAACAAGCTGAATTTTGACGAGAATATCAAATTTGGAACCCCAAAAAGATGCAAAAATGTTTACCACTTCTACCCCCGGGCTTCCCCCTAAAACTTCCCTCGCAAAGGGGTAAAAACTGAAAAAAATCGTTTTACCAAGAACTTGTACGCTGTAGAAAAAAATGTTTCAAATAAAAATGTAGCGATAATTTTGAACAAAAATGTTAATTAGCACTTTTTCTGTAGAACGAACCGTTCTTTCAGAAACAACGCTTGAATCGACCGACGATTTTTGATGTCAGTTGCGCGCGCGAAATCAATGTTACATAAAATGTGTATCAAGTCGACGGTAAAAATTCGATAACTTCTGATCAGAGTGTGCTATCGACAAAAAACAAATGCGTTCTAAAGGTGAAAAGCGCAGCTTTCTTGTTCAATTTTTGTATTTTGCAGCAGATCAAGTAAGTTTCTATAAATCTGTTTAACGATCGCACGTCTCGGAAAATACATCCAAGGAGATGGTTTTTAGTTTAATTTGTAGCAGAAGATAGGTAGTTTTGAAAAACGTACTAATAAAATTGAAAAGAGTAGTTTTTTTCGTTGTTCCTCCCTTATGAGTGGGGTTTTAGGAGAAAGCCCGAGGGTCAAAGAGGTAAACTTTTTTGCATTTTATGCGTCCTAAAATTGACATTCTAGGCAAAATTCAGCTTGTTCGTATGATTTTTAGAGGTTCGGTGGCATTTTCGTCTCTGAAGACTGGAGTATAACTTTATATTGAGAGAATTCTAAGCCATTCTATCGAAATATGTAATAATATACAGGGCATTCAAATTATAATAAGGAAGTTTTAGCTATCTTATGGTATAACCGGAAGTTCTAGCAGGCTCTAAATATTTCAGATTAACTGGGTAGATATATAAATACCTCATCATAAGTTTTCAGAAATCAATTGTTAAGTTGTTCAAAAACATCTAAATGATACTCCCGAAGAGTCACGCTATATAAATCAAAGTAACAAAATTAATAAGGGCTCTAATAGTATTATTTTGGAAAATATTTGTAATAAAACATATAGTCTCGGTAAAATATATCGTACAAATGCAAGAAATGCGGCTAAGTTTGATATCTTTCCTTTTACAACCTACCGGATGCCTGTGTGAAGTATATCACACAGCTCCTTTCATACAATACGAATTTGGTCGATACGACAAAACGTCGTAAAGACAGTTTGCCGTACATTCCATTAGTTCAATAAAGCAGTATACGACGACTTTCATAAAGGACGACCACGACTAAGTGTCGTGTCGTTGCTGTTCAGTTGCCGTCCAATGCCTCTGCAATGGATGACTACCTTGTCATGTCGTTGTCCTGTTAACAGTGAACCACGGCATGAAATCAATGTTTGCACACGTAACGACAGTTAGTCTTCTAGTACCAGTGAATCCAGTGGTACATACGTACATAAGAAAATATAGATACAGTGGCAGAAAATTATAAACACCGAGATAAGACGTAGACCGAAGTTTAGGGATATTGTGGAAGAAGTTACAAAAATGAAATGGCGCTGGGCAGGTCACGCAGCCCGATATAATGACAACAGGTGGACACGGAGCATTCTAGAATGGAGACCAAGTACGACAACAAGAAGCGTGGGAAGACCTCAAAAAAGATGGGTAGATGACATAAGAGCAGTGGCAGGCAAACAGTGGATTAGATTGGCGCAACATACAGAAAGATGGAAGCAATTGGGAGAGATCTACATTCAGGAATGGATGGAAAATGGTTGACAAAGAGAAAGGCAGAAAATATAGATG